CTAATTTGTTTTGTGTTGCTTACGTGTTTCTAAAGAACCATCAGGTGTGTATGCCAAAAATTGTGCTACAACAGGTGTAGTGTTATAAAACAGGTGGATACAGTGGTGTGTGGGACAAACAGGTGTGTGATACAACAGGAGGACAAAAATATTGCCTCTGTTGACTAGCAGTCAGTGTTAACTGGATGTTAGCAGACTCTTTAGTGGTGAATTTCTCTCGAAAAAAGACCCCAGGGGATTAAAGTTTACATTGACAGAATTTTTCTATGGTGTATTACCAGATTTACTATCCTTGTCGGGTTAATAACCTAAATAAAAACTATAAGAGGCTTTAAAAACTTAAGGCAGGAACACTGCAGCAGGCCTTACTGGCCCATGCTAGGGCACGGGTCCTTGTCAACCCAAGCCCACTAATTAAAAATATTCGTCCAACCCAATATCAGTGTTAACCAAGAATTTTATCGTTGCTACTGTTTCAGATTTTAATCCGGAGGTTAATAAAAAAGAATAAGAACTAAGAATGAAGGAATACTGCAGCAGGCCTACTGGCCCATACTCGCAGAGTCTTGTAAAAAGCAAGCTATTCCCACCCACATAATTTGTGCAGCTCTTTTCCCAAAGCTTCCCTAGAATTAGCTTCAGTACCTCAGCGTACTAATCAAATCACAGTACATTTCACCAGGGACGATCTACTTTGGAAAATTAATGATGCCAAAGCTCAGGGGCTCTAATCCCGGAGGAGGGACCCAGAAGCATGCTTATGGTCTATGCTGTTTAAGATTTTTTGGGTTCTGTATGAGAAGTTGGTGCGAAGGGGCCCCATAACGTTCGTGCTGCATGGCTCTCCAAAAATGTAGATCCGCACTGCTTTACTCATATATGTATCTTGTTTCTTTTTCAAGCTACCAGGTTTACTTAGCTTCTGTTACTACTCGGCAATAATGAAAAGAGAATATTCGGCAATGTGGTTTATTTCTTCAAGGTCCTTCAAGTTCCTCCCCAAGATGCCACCAAACAGTTTACTAAACTTCGGCCCAGGATCTGATCCGTGGCTGCTTTCTTTGTAGTACAAGGCGGCTTTTTTTGCTACTCCTCCATCCCTTCCTGTTAGGAATGTGTTGGCCTATTGTTTTCTGAGTGGCAGCTCTGGCACTGCTGGGTAGGGTATGGCTCTGTTGGAAGTTTGTAGGAGGTTATGGTGAGGCCAGGGTAGTCATTACTCTGGGAGGCAGGGCGTAGTTTGATCATCTGTCGCCTTGAGGGAGTAGTCACCCGGCCACAGCTCCCAGATGACGCCACGGTTAGTAGTCATTTCTTGGGTAGTGTGGTATTTCACGTTCAAGTTACATCCTCGATGCAACTGTTAAGAGAGATATGAAAGGCTTTGAACATTTACACCGTGAAAAACATTGTGTGTGTGTGTGTGTGTGTGTTGTGTGTGTGTGTGTGTGTGTGTATGTGTGTGTGTGTGTGTGTGTGATGTGTGTGTGTTGTTAGAGTGTGTGTGTGTGTGTATGTGGTGTGTGTGTGTGTGTGTGTGTGTTTGTTGTGTGTGTGGATGTGTAGTGTGTGTGTGTGTGTAATGTGTGTGTGTGTGTGTGTGTGTGTGTGTTGTGTGTGTGTGTGTAATAACCATATTGTTACTCCACCATAATTGTGGTTTGCAGGGATCGAGACTCAGCTCCTGCGCCCGCCTCTTCACGACCGCCACTAGGTCCTCTCTCCCCTGCTCATGAGCTTTATCATAACTATCTTAAACTATGTATTTTTCCTGCCTAATACATCGCCTTGCCAGACTATTCACTTCCTAAACTACTCTATGACTGCAAGAAATACTTCCTAACATCCCTTTGACTCATCGGAGTCTTCAGCTTTCCAATTGTGACCCCTTGTTTCTGTGTCCCATCTCTGGAACATCCTGTTCTCTGTCCACCTTGTCTATTCCAAGCAGTATTTTGTATGTCGTTATCATGTCTCCCTCTGACCCTTCTTCCTCCAGTTTCGTAAGACGATTCCTTAACCTGTTCTTCATAGGACATTCCCCTTAGCTCTGGAACTAGCCTTGTTGCAAACCTTTGCACTTTTCTCTAATTTTTTGACGTGTTTTTGCAACAGGTGTGGGTTCCAAATGGTGCTACCGTAATCCAGTAATGGGCCTGACGTACACAATGTTAAAGTCTTGATCTATTCCTTATGAGGTTACCGGAACGCTATTCTCAGGTTTGCCAAGCGCCCATAGGCCGCAGCAGTTATCTGGTTGTGCATGGCTTTGGCGATGTACTCGGTATTACACTTACTCTCTAGGTCTTTCTCCTTGAGTAAGGTTTGCAGCCTTCTGGGCCTCCAGGTCTATACTCTGTCTGCAGTTTCTTTGCCATCTCGATCTTCATGACTTTGCATTTTGCGGGTTTATTAATTTCTAGGAGCCAGTTTTGGACCCCACACATTCCAGCCTGTCCAGGTCTCTTTGTAGACCCCTGTCTGGTCAGCGTTTGATTTAATTCTTCCTCTTAACTTCACGTCACTCTGCAAACAGGACACTACTGAGTTTATCCTTCTGTTATAAGTCTGCTGTGTTCTACCTATTTGTACTCGCCTATTTGTGGTTGCGGGGGTTCGAGTCCTTAGCTCCTGGCCCGCTCTCGTCACCGGTTGGCTACTAGGCCCTCTCTTCCCGCTCCATGAGCTTTATCAAACTCGTCTTAAAACTGTGTTTGGTTCCTTGCTCCACCTACGGCACATTTTCTAGGCTATATCCACTGCCTTCCAACTCTTATGACTGAAGAAAGAAATACTTCCTACTATCTCTCTGACTCATTTGTGTCTTCAACTTCCAATTGTGGCCTCTTGTTTCTCGTGTCCCCTTCCTGGAACATCCTGTCTTGTCCACCTTGTGTATGTGTGTTGTGGTGTTATGTTGATGTGTGTGTGTACACCTATTGTACGCACCTATTTGTGGTTGCAGGGTCGAGTCCTAGCTCCTGGCCCAGCCTCTTCACGGTTGTACTAGGCTCTCTCTCTCCCCGCTTATGAGCTTTATCAAACCTCGTCCTTAAAACTTGTAGTGGTTCCTGCCTCCACTACAGTCATTTTCAAGGCTATTCCACTGCCTTACAACTCTATGACTGAAGAAATACTTCCTACTATCTCTTGATCTTTGGTGTCTTCAACTTCCAATTGGTTGGCCTCTTGTTGTCTGTGTCCCCTCCCTGAACATCCTGTGTCTTTGTCCCACCTTGTCTATTCCACGCAGTATTTTTTATGTCGTTATCATGTCTCCCTGACCCTCCTGTCTCCAGTGTCGTCAGGACGATTTACTTAATCTTTTTATAGGGACATTCCCCTTAGCTCTGGAACTAACCTTGTCGCAAACCTTTGTACTTTCTCTGGTTTCTTGACGTGCTTTATCAAGTGCGGCGTTCCAAAAGTGCTGCATACTCCAGTATGGGCATCCTGCTGACCATACACGGTGTACAGTTTCTTGAATGATTCATTACTAACCCAAAAATTAATGTCTGTATCGGACATGCTGTTTCTCAGGTTTGCCAGGCGCCCATATGCTGCCAGCAGTTATCTGATTGATGTGTGCTTCCGGGAGACATGCTCGGTGTTATACTCACCCCATGAATCTTTCTCCTTGAGTGAGGTTCTGTGTATTTGGCAACCTAGCTTATACTCTGTCTGTGGTCTCTTGTTGGCCTTCCCTATCTTCAATTGGAACTTTGCATTTGAGGATTAAATTCGAGAAGCCATTTTGGCTTTGGACCAGGTTGTCCAGTCTGTCCAGGTCTCTTTGAGTACCTGCCTGGTTCCTCATCGATTTAATTTCCTCATTAACTTCACATCATCTGCAACAGGGGACACTTCTCGAGTCTAACCCTTCCGTCATGTCGATCACATATACCAAAATAGCACTCGGTCCTAAGGACCGAACCCTGTGGGACCCCGACTCGTCAGGTGCCCACTGTGATACATCATTACGTACCATGACTCGTTGTTTGCCTCCATGTCAGTATTCTCTGATCCCATTGCAAGTGCCTTTCCTGTTATATGCGCTGATGCTCTTGATTCTGCCTAATCTTTGTGAGGAACTGTTGTTCAAAGGCCTTCTTGCACGTTCCAAGAAGAGGCAATTCAAGCCCACCCGCTCTCTCGTGTCTTACTTATGTTATTTTATCATAAAATCCAGAAGGTTTGTGAAACAGGATTTGCCTTCGTGAATCAGTGCTGGTGGGGATTTAATCCTGTCCCATTCAGGTGACTCCCACCACTCTCTCCTGATAATCTTCTACATTTAATTTTGCATACTATACACGTCAATGACACAGTCTATAGTTTAGTTTCCCTCTTTTCTGTATCTCCTTTTTTAAAAATGGGAAACTACATGTTGTGTGTGTGTGTGTTGTGTGTGTGTGTGTTGTGTGTGTGTGTGTGTGTGTGTGTGTGTGTGTGTGTGTGTGTAGTGCTCTCCTAGTGTGGTTGCAGGTTGGTCACAGTCCTGGCCCCGCCTCTTCAATGGTCGCTACTAGGTCCCACTCCCTGCTCCACGAGCTTTATCGTACCCTCTTCTTTAAAAGCTTTGTAGGGATATGGCCCTTCCACTACTCACTCTCCAGATTGTTCTACTTCCTAACAACTCTATGACTGAAGAAATACTTCTTAACATCCCTGTGACTCATCTGCGTTTTCAACTTGCAGTTGAACGGGGACAATAGGTGTAAGGAAACATGCCCGATGTTTCCACCCTTGCCGGGGATTCAAACCACCGACACTAGTGTTGTGGCGAGGAGGTGTTGCCAACCAGGCCCCACGGGGGACACCATTAACCTAAGTAGAACCTACCTGGTAAAAAACTTTGTAATAAATACCAACAAATTGTTTTAAAAAATTAGAAGTGGTCAAGGCCCCAAGACCGAAACGTTTACTAGTAAATATGTCCTAGTGTTTGCTTACGCGTCTTTCTAAACCACTGAACCACCATAAACCTGGGCAACACTCACCTGTAGAACCACCATCCCCCACCATAAGCCGGGGCACAGGGACAGCACTCAGGAGCCTCGTCATTGTCCCTATCGTAGGTGGAGAAGAGGAACCCGTTGTGAGCTGAGAAGCTGTCGGAGGCGTTGCCACGGTAACCAAAAACACTCAGACGATAGTTGTGCGCCTCGTCAGCAATACTGTGGAAGGCCAGGCAGAAGGAAATTATTATTCTTATTTTCATTTAGCAAAACTGGATATATCAACGGGTTGCTGTTACCCTATTATATACGATGGTTACATTGTGGGTACACCAGTCGAGTGCTTCCATCTTATTCTACTGTGTATGGTGGTTACATAGAGAGAACGAAAGTTAGCTATGTTACCTCTTTCATATTCCATCAGAAGATGGGTTTCCCCTGTCATATTCCATCACAGGATGGGTTTAACCTGTCATATTCCATCACAGGATGGGACTATCATATTCCATCACAGGATGGGTTACCACTGTCATATTCCGTCACAGGATGGGTGTCACTGTCATTATTCCAGCACAGGACGGGTTTTTTTCCACTGTCATATTCCATACAGGATGGGTTTAACTGTCATATTCCATCCACGAGGGATAGGGAGAAGGGATGGGTTTCTACTGTCATATCATCAATAGGATTGGGTTTCCTCTGTATATTCCATCAAGGATGGGTTTCTATGTCGTATTCCATTCACAGGATGGGTTTCCACTGTTCATATCCATCACAGGATGGGTTTCCACTGTCATATTCCATCACTGAGGATGGGTTTCACTGTCATATTTACCCTTCACAGGATGGGTTTTTTTTTTTTGTTTTTTTTTTTTCTACTGTCATATTTCCATCATAGGATGGGTTTCACTGTCATATTCCATCACAGGGATGGTTTTACTGTCATATTCCAATCACAGATGGGTTTTCTACTGTCATATTCCATCCACAGGATGGGTTTCTACTGTTCATATTCCGTATAGGATGGGTTTCCACTGTCATATTCCATCACAGGATGGGTTTCTACTGTCATATTCCATCACAGGATGGGTTTCTACTGTCATATTCCATCATAGGATGGGTTTCCACTGTCATATTCCATCACAGGATGGGTTTCTACTGTCATATTCCATCACAGGATGGGTTTCCACTGTCATATTCCATCACAGGATGGGTTTCCACTGTCATATTCCATCACAGGATGGGTTTCTAACTGTCATTATTCCATCACAGGACGGGTTTCCACTGTCATATTCCATCACAGGATGGGTTTAACCTGTCATATTTCATCACAGGATGGGTTTCTACTGTCATATTCCATCATAGGATGGGTTTCCACTGTCATATTCCATCACAGGATGGGTTTCTACTGTCATATTCCATCTCAGGATGGTTTCGACTGTTATATTCCATCAACAGGATGGGTGTATACTGTCCATATCCATCACGGATGGGTTTTCCAATGTCAAATTCCATTTCAAGGATGGGTTTAACCTGTCATATTCCATCACAGGATGGGTTTCTACTGTCATATTCCATCACAGGATGGGTTTCTACTGTCATATTCCATCACAGGATGGGTTTCTACTGTCATATTCCATCACAGGATGGGTTTCCACTGTCATATTCCATCACAGGATGGGTTTAACCTGTCATATTCCATCACAGGATGGGTTTCTACTGTCATATTCCATCATAGGATGGGTTTCCACTGTCATATTCCATCACAGGATGGGTTTAACCTGTCATATTCCATCACAGGATGGGTTTCTACTGTCATATTCCATCACATGATGGGTTTCTACTGTCATATTCCATCACAGGATGGGTTTCTACTGTCATATTCCATCACAGGATGGGTTTCCACTGTCATATTCCATCACAGGATGGGTTTAACCTGTCATATTCCATCACAGGATGGGTTTCCACTGTCATATTCCATCACAGGACGGGTTTCCACTGTCATATTCCATCACAGGATGGGGTTTCCACTGTATATTCCATAACAGGATGGGTTTTACTGTAATCATTTCCATCACTGGACGGGTTTCCACTGTCATATTCCATCACAGGATGGGTATCTACTGTCATATTCCATCACGGATGGGTATGGTTTTTTTACCTGTCAATTCCATCACAGGATGGGTTTCCACTGTCATATTCCATCACAGGATGGGTTTCTACTGTCATATTCCATCACAGGATGGGTTTCCACTGTCATATTCCATCACAGGATGGGTTTCTACTGTCATATTCCATCACTGGATGGGTTTCTACATGTCATATTCCATCACAGGATGTGTTTTCTCACTGATCAATATTTCCATCACAGGATGGGGTTTAACCTGTCATTTCCATCACAGGATGGGGTTTCTACTTCATTATTCCATCACCGGATGGGTTTTACTGTCATATTCCATCACAGGACGGGTTTCACTGTCATATTCCATCACAGGATGGGTTTCTACTGTCATATTCCATCACAGGATGGGTTTCTACTGTCATATTCCATCACAGGATGGGTTTCCACTGTCATATTCCATCACAGGATGGGTTTCTACTGTCATATTCCATCACAGGATGGGTTTCTCCTGTCATATTCCATCAACCGGATGGCGTTTCTACTGTCTATTCCATCACAGGACGGTTGCTACTGTCACTATTCCATCACAGGTGGGTTTTTCTACTGTCATTATTCCATCACAGGACGGGTTTCACTGTATATTCCATCCAAGGATGGGTTTAACTGACAATATTCCATCACAGGATGGGTTTTCTACTGTTCTTATTCCATCACAGAGGGTTTTACTGTCATATTCCATCACAGGATGGGTTTCTACTGTCATATTCCATCACAGGACGGGTTTCCACTGTCATATTCCATCACAGGATGGGTTTAACCTGTCATATTTCATCACAGGATGGGTTTCTACTGTCATATTCCATCACAGGACGGGTTTCCACTGTCATATTCCATCACAGGATGGGTTTCTACTGTCATTATTCCATCAACAGGAGGGTTTTTCTACTGTAATATTCCATCTCAGGATGGGTGTTCTACTGTCATATTCCATCACAGACGGGGTTTCCACTGTTCATATTCCATCACAGGATGGGTTTAAACCTGTCATATTCCATCACAGATGGGTTTCTACTTGTTCATATTCCTTCATAGGAGGGTTTCACTGTTCATATTCCATACCAGGATGGGTTTTAACCTGTAATATTCCATCACAGGAATGGGTTTCACTGTCATATTCCATCACAGGATGGGTTTCTACTGTCATATTCCATCATAGGATGGGTTTTCCAACTGTCATATTCCATTCACGGATGGGTTTCTTCTGTCAATATTCCATCACAGGATGGGTTTCTACTGTCATATTCCATAACAGGATGTGTTTCCACTGCTCCATATTCCATCTCAGGATGGGTTTCTTGTCATATTCCATCACAAAGATGGGTTTCTCCTGTCATATTCCATCACAGGATGGGTTTCACTGTCATATTCCTTCAAGGATGGCGTTTCCCACGTCATATTCCATCACAGGATGGGTTTCCACTGTCATATTCCATCACAGGATGGGTTTCCACTGTCATATTCCATCACAGGATGGGTTTCCACTGTCATATTCCATCACAGGATGGGTTTCCACTGTCATATTCCATCACAGGATGGGTTTCCAATGTCATATTCCATCACAGGATGGGTTTCCAATGTCATATTCCATCACAGGATGGGTTTCCACTGTCATATTCCATCACAGGATGGGTTTCCACTGTCATATTCCATCACAGGATGGGTTTCCAATGTCATATTCCATCACAGGATGGTTGCCAATGTGTCATATTCCACAAAGGATGGGTTTCCATGTCGAAAGTATTCCATCACAGGATGCGGTTTCCAATGTCATATTCCATTCACAGGATGGGTTTCCAATGTCATATTCCATCACAGAGATGGTTTATCCATGTCATTTCATCACAAGATGGGACCTAACTGTCCCATTCCACCTCGGAATAAGACTGTCTACATTCCACCACAGGAGAAGAATGTCTCTTTCCACCACATGATAAGACTGTCACATTCCACCACAGGATAAGACAGTCACATTCCACCACAGGATAAGACAGTCACATTCCACCACAGGATAAGACTGTCACATTCCACCACAGGATAAGACTGTCACATTCCACCACAGGATGTGTCACATACAAAGTGTTGACATATATCAGCCTGAGCTCTGAGAGACTTCGGTACAACAATGAGGATATTGTCAAGTATTCCTTTAAGCTACGACAGTTTGAGAGGTTTTCTTCCAGCAGAGTGGCAGTTACAATATTCATCTTTAATGATGGTCTATCCCAAGAGGAAATGAAGAGTGAGAAGAAACATGTCCTTCACCTCTTACATACACAGAGATGAGATGCATCTCTGATGGTTCATACACTGAAAGGTGAGGTTTATTTATCAGAGTACATACACTGAAACATATGCTTATGTCTTAGTGTACAGCATATATACTGAAAAATATTTGTTTATTAGTATGTATATATATATATATATATATATATACTATATATAATATATATATATATATTTATATATATATATATATATATATATTATTTTATATCTACAGGGGGCTTGGACACTCATTGTACAAACTATGGATGAGTGTCAGTGGGTGTTTGTTTCCCACCCCCCCCCCTCTACTGAAGCGAGGTCACCCACTTGAAGCTGAGGTCACCCACCTGAAGCTGAGGTCACCCACCTGAAGCTGAGGTCACCCACCTGAAGCTGAGGTCACCCACCTGAAGCTGAGGTCACCCACCTGAAGCTGAGGTTACCCACCTGAAGCTGAGGATACCCACCTTAAGCTGAGGCCACCCACCTGAAGCTGAGGTCACCCACCTGAAGCTGAGATCACCCATTTGAAGCTGAGGTCACTCACCTGAAGCTGAGGTCACTCACCTGAAGCTGAGGATACCCACCTGAAGCTGAGATCACCCATTTGAAGCTGAGGTCACTCACCTGAAGCTGAGGTACTTCCTAGAGATATTTTATCCCGGCGACCATCATGACACTAGAGCCAGAGGGTAGTAGGTGGTGTTGGAGTGGTGATGGTTTGCTCTTGGGCTCCTACGTCGTGAATGGTGTCGTCGGGGTTAACACATCTCTAGGGTGATATACGGATGAATAAGAAAGGATGTTTTTAGGGAAGAATAGAGGGTGAGAAATGGAATATGTAACATAGGTGAGAAATGATTAACTGTTGGTTATCGAATATTTAGTTTGAGATAAATATGTGTAAAATAAGTTTTGTTTTTGATGATTATAACCAAAATTTGGTGGGTTAAAATGTATTAATATTTTTTTGGATTTGATGAATAGTTAACATGAACTTAGTAAAGTGATTGATCGACACCATGCCGTAACCTTCTAGGGAGGGTAGGTGCCTGACCGTCCGAGCCTTTAGCTCATAAGACTGTCATTCCCATTAGCCCCCTTGGGGCGGTGTGTATGTGTTGTTGTGTGTGAGTGTGTTGGGCGTGTGTGTCGTGTGTGTGTGTGTGTGTGTGGGTGTGTATGTGTGTGTGGTTGTGTGAGTGATGTGTGTGTGTGTATGTGTGTGTGGTGTGTGTGTATTTGTGTGTGTGTGTGTGTTGATTGTGTATGTTGTGTGGTGTGTGTGTGTGTGTAGTGTGTGTGTGTGTGTGTGTGTGTGTGTGTGTGTGTGTGTGTATGTTAGTAGATGGTGTGTGTGTTGTGCGTGTAGTGTGTGTGTGTGTGTGTATGTGTGTGTGTGAGTGTGTGTGGTGTGTATGTGTGGTGTGATGGTGTGTGGGTGTGTTGCGTGTGTGTGTGCGTGTGGTGTGTGTACTCACCTTTTTGCTAATCTCTATTTGTGGTTGCAGGGGTCGAGTCCAGCTCATGGCCCGCCTCTTCGCTGATTGTGCTACTAGGGTCTCTTCTCCCTGCACCATGAGCTTATCATACTCGCCTTTAAACTATGTGATGGTTCCTGCCTCACCAATACACTTTTCTAGGATATTCCATGGCCTCCTGACTACTCTATGAATGAAGAAAAACTTCCTAACATCCTTCTGATTCATCTGAGTTTCAATTCCAATTGTGACCTCTTGTGTCTGTGTCCACTCTGAACATCCCGTCTTTGTCACACCTCGTCTATTCCGCGCAGTATTTTATGTCGTTATCATGTCTCCCTGACCCTCCTGGCCTCCATGTCGTCAGGCGATTTCCTCAACCTTTCTTCATAGGGACAATCCCCGTAAGCTCTGGGCTAGTCTTGTTGCACCTTTGCACTTTCTCTAATTTCTTACGTGCTTGACTAGGGTTGTGGATTCCAAACTGGTGCTGCATACTCCAGTATGGGCCCTACGTAGGATGTGTACAGAGTCTTAAACGAATCCGTATGAGGTATCGGAACGCTATCCGTAGGTTTGCCAGGCGACCGTATGCTGCCGCAGTTATTGATTGACTGTGGTGTGTGTGTGTGTGTGTGTGTGTGTGAGTGTGTGGTGTGTGTGTGTGTGTGTGTGGTTGTTGTGTGTGTTATGAGTGGAAAATATTGTGTCTGTTGTGGAGATGTTTGAGGGAGAGTGAGGGGTTTGGGAAGGTGGGGAAGAAGGGTTTAAGAAGGAGGAAGAGAAGTAAGGAAGGGTAACAGGTGATACTAATGTGACATTTTTTGTGGCAACGTTTTGCTCTCCAGGATCTTTATCAGCTCCTGGAGAGCAAAAACGTTGCCACAATAAATGGTCAACATTTTAGTTTGCCTTGTGTCCTTGTACTTTACTTTTATTGTCGGTAATTCTACACAACTTTATTAACAAGGAGAGAGAGGTTACTTCGTGTGGAGTGACCTGAGATGTTTCTGAGATCGGTCTGATATGACTCGCCAGACTTTTTCTGATGAAATAGTTTTTTAAACAAGAGAAAATTGTCTAGACATGCGGCAAGAGCACTGAATCTTCTGTTTTGTTTTTTGTAAAGAAAATGTGGATTATTGTGGGTATTACGAAAAATGAGGGGAATTTTTTGGTATCCTGAGTTAGAGATGAAAATGTAAATATTTTCCATATTTGTATTATTTGAAATGGTATTACTGAGAATAATGAATAAAGATTAGATAATGTAATTGTTTAAATGGAACTATATTAGTGTCTATACCTATGTTATTTTATTTAAGTTAATTTTAAGTTTTATAAGGAGACACAGAGTGACCTGGTATTGTGATAAACTGTTTGTATGGAGTGAGATGTATGGGTCGAGATGTATGGATGTGAGATGTAATGGGAGTGGATGTATGGAGTGAGATGTATTGGAGTTGAGATGTATGGAGTTGAGATGTATGGGTGAGAGGTATGGAGTGAGAAGTATGGAGTGTGATGTATGGTGTGAGATGTATGGAGTGAGATGTATGGAGTCGAGATGTATGGAGTGAGATGTATGGAGTGAGATGTATGGAGTGAGATGTATGGAGTGAGATGTTTGGAGTGAGATGTATGGAATTGGAGTTGTTATGGAGTGAGATGTATGGAGTAAGATGTATGGAGTGAGATGTATGGACGTAAGATGGTGACCACCAGATCATCCACAACATAATGCATAGGAATTTGGAGAGTAAAAAAACATGGTTATAAATGACCATAATTTTTAAAGGGGTGGACCGGTAAGCCAGCGGAAGGCCTCGGTCAGATGACCAAAAGCTCCAAAGGCGGGTCATCATCTGACTATGACCCGCGTCAGGAAACATTTGTCCTGTTTCCTGACGAACCTTTACCTAACCTAACCTAACCTAACCTAACCTAACCTAACCTAACCTAACCTAACCTAACCTAACCTAACCTAACCTAACCTAACCTAACCTAACCGAACCTTACCTAACCTAACCTGAGAATTTATTCAAGACAAAAAGAATTACTCTATGTTGATTTTAGTCAATGAATTGCACCTTTTTTCAGTTAATTTGTATTTTTTTGTTGTTGGATGTATATGAAATGTATATGAAATGTATTGGTTGTATAATAAATAAATAAATGAAAATATTGTGTATTAGTGTTATCTTTAGCATTTTTAGTTAATGTTAGGTCGAACAAGATTCGCATGTGTGTGTCGTGGTCATCACGGTGACGTCACTGACTTTAGGGAGGAGTCCATTTGGTCAGACAAGTTTCAGCCAGTGTGTGTGAGAGGCATCACGTGACGTCTCGACTCAGTAGGGCAGGAGGAGTCCATTTGGGTCGACAAAGATTCAGCCTATGGTGTGTGTAGGGTCATACGTGGACGTCACGGACATAGGGAGGAGTCATTGGGCACATTGATCTGCCTGTGTGTTGTGAGGTATCACGGACCGTCACTGATGTCATGGGAGGCAGTCCATTTGGTCGACAAGATTCAGCCTGTGGTGGTGAGGTCATCTACGTGTTGACGTCACTGACATGGGAGGAGTCCCTTTTGGTCGACAAGATTCAGCCTGTGTGTGTGAGGTCATCACGTGACGTCCTGACCGCCGAGTAAGTTAAACCACAGGTAGGGTGGACGTCAACACTTGTTTTAGACCTTGTAGTAAGAGGAAAGTACCATGCCCCATGTGGTGGGGGGGGGGAGTTATCTTGATGCTTACCCAGAGGGTGGGAATCCAAAAACTGGATCCAAGGTGATTGAGCATGAATTTTGGGATGGGGTTGAAAGTTGGGAAGGAGAACCTCAAAAGTTGATATCGAGCACAAAACTTGATCCACCAAGGAGTTGGAGGGGAGATTACTTGGACATAGAGGGTTAGACGTGGATGGTGGGTAAGGGCGTGTTGATCCGAGGAATTTGGGGCAGGGAATTTGGGATTGCAAGTGGAGTCCATTTTGAATGTTTTACCCCCCGAGGGGAACCCAAAAACTTGATCGAGGAAGTGGCATGTTCTATTGTATTATTGATATCGAGAAAAACTTGATCCAAGGAAGTAGAGCAGGAGAATATTTGGGGCTAAAAAGGGGTGGGGGGAGGTGTGGGGGGAGTGGTTGTTGATCCGAGGAGTCATAGGAAACTTGAAACCCCATAAGGGGGGAATCCAAAAAACTTGATCCAAGGAAGTGGAGTCTTTGTATTATTTGATTATCGAGATAACTTGATCCAAGGGATGGAGCAGGAAATATTTGGGGGTGGAAGTGGGTGGTGATAGGGGTACCATAGGCGGAAACCCCAAAAAAAAACTTGATCCCAAGAGATGGAGGAGACAAGAAAATGAAATTCAAAAAAAATTCGAAAAAAATCGGAAAAAAATTCGGTGGAGCGGGGGGCGATCCGGTCGTCGCTGCAGAGGCACGTGTGCGGGCGGCGCGCCGTGTCGGGCGGGTCCCGGTCGGGCGGGCGCGGGGGGGGGGGGGGGGGGTGGCGGGCGCTCGGAGCGCGGCGCGGGAAAGGAGTGTGTGGGATGACCGACTCTGTAGAAGAGAGACCGCTCTATAGAAGAGACCGCTATGTAGAAGAGGACCGACTCTGTTTTGAAGAGCCGCGCCCTGTAGTAGAATAGACCGCTTGTAGAAAGATGCTCTGTAGAAGAGACCACTCTGTAGGAGAGCGTCTGTAGAAGTGGGCTGCTCTGTAGAAGAGACCGCCTCTGTAGAAAGGCTGTGCTCTGTATAAGAGACCACTCTGTTAGAGAGAACGCTCCGCTCACGTAGAAGAGACTGCTCTGTAGAAGAGACCACCACTCTGTAGGAAAGACTGATCTGTAGAAGAGACAGCTCTGTAAGAAGAGGACCGCTATGGTAGAAGAGTCCTCTTGTAGAAGAGGACTGCTCTGTAGAAGAGACTGCTCTGTAGAAGAGACTGCTCTGGTTGAAGAGTTGCTTGTAGAAGAGAACTGCTCTTGTGAAGGCCTTTTCGGGAAGCAGAGGAGGACCGCTCTGTTGAAGAGACCGCTCTGTAGAAATCACACCTACTTATATACATTTTATACTATATTTATTAATATTTATATATATATATATATATATATATATATATATATTATATATATAATTATATATATATATATACTATATATATATATATATATATAATATATAATACTCATTTATATATTTTACATTAGTGAATGGACAGGCGTCACATTATGGAAATTACAAAATACGAAAAAAAAAATTATGACAAAATTATACAGATGTTATTAATAATCGATGATCTCAATGGACACGTATTTTTTATATTAAAATAAAAATAAATCATAATTGATCAACTCTAGTTTATATTTTATTTTTAATAATAAAATATACCATTTAAATAATTTATTTATAATAAAAAATAATTACTCGTTACGTAGTGTGATAATAATATTTATTATTGTAATTAGTGATGGAGTAGTTTAGTATATGTTTGGAAACTGCATCCTAAAAGGGGGGGTCTGATCCGAGGAGCTATGCTACTCAAAGCGATCGCTCTCCCATTCCAAAAATATTCATCACAGTATTCATTTTTTGAAGGGTTACTTCTCCTTGGTTCTCAAGCTGTGGGTCGCGGACCCTAGATGGATCGTGAATTCCCCTAGAGGGCCGTGGACCCCTAGGGGCTGGGCTACCGTGACCCCATGATAGGTCGAGTCGATGATCCCATCTAGAGGAAGTCGTTATCCCTAGATGAGTCGAAGGACCCTGATGGGCGGGTGACCCCTATAGATGGGTCAAGAAAACCCTTGATGGGCCTTGAATCCCGTCTAGATGGGTCGGTGGGACTACCTACATGTGTCGTGAACCCCTAGATGGGTCGTCGGACCCCAAGATGGGCCCGCGGGACCCCAAAGGCTGGTTCATGAAGCCACATAAATGGGGCCTCATACCCCTTAGACGGGCGCGGACACGAGAAAATTACGGCTCCGCAGACCGATGGCGCCTTAAACCCAACATAAAACAATAGGCGAGAGTGGCATTATAACAATTTACGAGTACAGAAACCATGGTATGTCATACCATTTATGGGGGAGCTACTATACAAGAATATAAACAAATTGGAATATTATTACTACACGGATTTTCAGACCGAAAACGTCAGGCGTAATAACAAATATACAACGTACGTATAGTATTTGTGTATCACGGTGTATGTGGTCCTAGGTAGGAAATGTGGGTAATATCGTTATTATTAAAATTTTGGTCGGGAATTTTAATATAACATGAGTATCTGTATAATAAACTTGGGTAATATATACCGCAAATTTGGGGGTTTCCAGAAAAGACACATAAGTAAAAACACTATAGGAAATAAGAAAACTTTCGGGTCCTGGGACCCTGATCAAGGTCCCAGGACCGAAAACGTCTTTCTAATTTGTTTTGTGTTGCTTACGTGTTTCTAAAGAACCATCAGGTGTGTATGCCAAAAATTGTGCTACAACAGGTGTAGTGTTATAAAACAGGTGGATACAGTGGTGTGTGGGACAAACAGGTGTGTGATACAACAGGAGGACAAAAATATTGCCTCTGTTGACTAGCAGTCAGTGTTAACTGGATGTTAGCAGACTCTTTAGTGGTGAATTTCTCTCGAAAAAAGACCCCAGGGGATTAAAGTTTACATTGACAGAATTTTTCTATGGTGTATTACCAGATTTACTATCCTTGTCGGGTTAATAACCTAAATAAAAACTATAAGAGGCTTTAAAAACTTAAGGCAGGAACACTGCAGCAGGCCTTACTGGCCCATGCTAGGGCACGGGTCCTTGTCAACCCAAGCCCACTAATTAAAAATATTCGTCCAACCCAATATCAGTGTTAACCAAGAATTTTATCGTTGCTACTGTTTCAGATTTTAATCCGGAGGTTAATAAAAAAGAATAAGAACTAAGAATGAAGGAATACTGCAGCAGGCCTACTGGCCCATACTCGCAGAGTCTTGTAAAAAGCAAGCTATTCCCACCCACATAATTTGTGCAGCTCTTTTCCCAAAGCTTCCCTAGAATTAGCTTCAGTACCTCAGCGTACTAATCAAATCACAGTACATTTCACCAGGGACGATCTACTTTGGAAAATTAATGATGCCAAAGCTCAGGGGCTCTAATCCCGGAGGAGGGACCCAGAAGCATGCTTATGGTCTATGCTGTTTAAGATTTTTTGGGTTCTGTATGAGAAGTTGGTGCGAAGGGGCCCCATAACGTTCGTGCTGCATGGCTCTCCAAAAATGTAGATCCGCACTGCTTTACTCATATATGTATCTTGTTTCTTTTTCAAGCTACCAGGTTTACTTAGCTTCTGTTACTACTCGGCAATAATGAAAAGAGAATATTCGGCAATGTGGTTTATTTCTTCAAGGTCCTTCAAGTTCCTCCCCAAGATGCCACCAAACAGTTTACTAAACTTCGGCCCAGGATCTGATCCGTGGCTGCTTTCTTTGTAGTACAAGGCGGCTTTTTTTGCTACTCCTCCATCCCTTCCTGTTAGGAATGTGTTGGCCTATTGTTTTCTGAGTGGCAGCTCTGGCACTGCTGGGTAGGGTATGGCTCTGTTGGAAGTTTGTAGGAGGTTATGGTGAGGCCAGGGTAGTCATTACTCTGGGAGGCAGGGCGTAGTTTGATCATCTGTCGCCTTGAGGGAGTAGTCACCCGGCCACAGCTCCCAGATGACGCCACGGTTAGTAGTCATTTCTTGGGTAGTGTGGTATTTCACGTTCAAGTTACATCCTCGATGCAACTGTTAAGAGAGATATGAAAGGCTTTGAACATTTACACCGTGAAAAACATTGTGTGTGTGTGTGTGTGTGTGTTGTGTGTGTGTGTGTGTGTGTGTATGTGTGTGTGTGTGTGTGTGTGATGTGTGTGTGTTGTTAGAGTGTGTGTGTGTGTGTATGTGGTGTGTGTGTGTGTGTGTGTGTGTTTGTTGTGTGTGTGGATGTGTAGTGTGTGTGTGTGTGTAATGTGTGTGTGTGTGTGTGTGTGTGTGTGTTGTGTGTGTGTGTGTAATAACCATATTGTTACTCCACCATAATTGTGGTTTGCAGGGATCGAGACTCAGCTCCTGCGCCCGCCTCTTCACGACCGCCACTAGGTCCTCTCTCCCCTGCTCATGAGCTTTATCATAACTATCTTAAACTATGTATTTTTCCTGCCTAATACATCGCCTTGCCAGACTATTCACTTCCTAAACTACTCTATGACTGCAAGAAATACTTCCTAACATCCCTTTGACTCATCGGAGTCTTCAGCTTTCCAATTGTGACCCCTTGTTTCTGTGTCCCATCTCTGGAACATCCTGTTCTCTGTCCACCTTGTCTATTCCAAGCAGTATTTTGTATGTCGTTATCATGTCTCCCTCTGACCCTTCTTCCTCCAGTTTCGTAAGACGATTCCTTAACCTGTTCTTCATAGGACATTCCCCTTAGCTCTGGAACTAGCCTTGTTGCAAACCTTTGCACTTTTCTCTAATTTTTTGACGTGTTTTTGCAACAGGTGTGGGTTCCAAATGGTGCTACCGTAATCCAGTAATGGGCCTGACGTACACAATGTTAAAGTCTTGATCTATTCCTTATGAGGTTACCGGAACGCTATTCTCAGGTTTGCCAAGCGCCCATAGGCCGCAGCAGTTATCTGGTTGTGCATGGCTTTGGCGATGTACTCGGTATTACACTTACTCTCTAGGTCTTTCTCCTTGAGTAAGGTTTGCAGCCTTCTGGGCCTCCAGGTCTATACTCTGTCTGCAGTTTCTTTGCCATCTCGATCTTCATGACTTTGCATTTTGCGGGTTTATTAATTTCTAGGAGCCAGTTTTGGACCCCACACATTCCAGCCTGTCCAGGTCTCTTTGTAGACCCCTGTCTGGTCAGCGTTTGATTTAATTCTTCCTCTTAACTTCACGTCACTCTGCAAACAGGACACTACTGAGTTTATCCTTCTGTTATAAGTCTGCTGTGTTCTACCTATTTGTACTCGCCTATTTGTGGTTGCGGGGGTTCGAGTCCTTAGCTCCTGGCCCGCTCTCGTCACCGGTTGGCTACTAGGCCCTCTCTTCCCGCTCCATGAGCTTTATCAAACTCGTCTTAAAACTGTGTTTGGTTCCTTGCTCCACCTACGGCACATTTTCTAGGCTATATCCACTGCCTTCCAACTCTTATGACTGAAGAAAGAAATACTTCCTACTATCTCTCTGACTCATTTGTGTCTTCAACTTCCAATTGTGGCCTCTTGTTTCTCGTGTCCCCTTCCTGGAACATCCTGTCTTGTCCACCTTGTGTATGTGTGTTGTGGTGTTATGTTGATGTGTGTGTGTACACCTATTGTACGCACCTATTTGTGGTTGCAGGGTCGAGTCCTAGCTCCTGGCCCAGCCTCTTCACGGTTGTACTAGGCTCTCTCTCTCCCCGCTTATGAGCTTTATCAAACCTCGTCCTTAAAACTTGTAGTGGTTCCTGCCTCCACTACAGTCATTTTCAAGGCTATTCCACTGCCTTACAACTCTATGACTGAAGAAATACTTCCTACTATCTCTTGATCTTTGGTGTCTTCAACTTCCAATTGGTTGGCCTCTTGTTGTCTGTGTCCCCTCCCTGAACATCCTGTGTCTTTGTCCCACCTTGTCTATTCCACGCAGTATTTTTTATGTCGTTATCATGTCTCCCTGACCCTCCTGTCTCCAGTGTCGTCAGGACGATTTACTTAATCTTTTTATAGGGACATTCCCCTTAGCTCTGGAACTAACCTTGTCGCAAACCTTTGTACTTTCTCTGGTTTCTTGACGTGCTTTATCAAGTGCGGCGTTCAAACCATCTTGTAAAACATCCTTGTGCTGAAGGATGATGTACCTGCGTTTAATATTCATAACAAAACGCTGATCACTGTGGATGACATCCATAACAAGTTTTTTCTTCACGTTTTAGAATTATTTTCCAGCATTTCAAGGAAATTTCCATTTTTGCCACTAAAATTACCATACTATTACTACTAATAATAATCTTTATTTCTACAAGTATATGATACATCTTATACAGACCATAGCTGACATCAGTGACATACTATATATGAACAGCATTTCGGGCAACTTAGGTTAATTTTATCCCCCCAGGATGCGACCCACACCAGTCGACTAACAACCAGGTACCTACTTACTGTTAGGTGAACATGGATAGCAGGTGTCTTGAGAAATCACATCCTAATGTTTCCACTCGTACAGGGAATCGAACCACGGACACTCAGTGAGTGAGCTGATTGCGCTACCAACCGAGCTACGCACTGGCCTGGGGTTCTAACCCCAACCGTACGGGGGTTTATTGGTTAAAACCATTAATTTACAAACGAGCTTACGTATCGTGTGTGTTTGGCGGGGGAGACCAGACCACTTACTAACAAAGGATTCGTAGTCGTAATCAGGACCAATGAGTTGGTCGAAGACCAGATCCACCTTGGCACTGACGTCCTGGAGCCGGCGGGAGTCCTGCGGGTGAAGGTGGCACGCCCCTGGCTCTCCTGTACGTGAAAGTCATGGTTAATTGGCACTCACTCACCACAGACGGGGGGGGGTGCCTTGATGATGGTGAAGGGCTCTTGATCCAAGGAACTGAAGATGACCATTATTTCCTTGGATCTAATTTAATTACCCTACACCCGATCAATAATAATAATAATAATAATAATTAATAATAATAATAATAATAATAATAATAATAATAATAATGTAGTAGGTTGGTAGACAGCAACCACCCAGGGAAGTACTACCGTCCTGCCAGATGACTGTGAAACAAAAACCTGTAACTGTTTTGCATGATGGTAGGATTGCTGGTTTCTTTTTCTGTCTCATAAACACGCTAAGATAACAGGGATATCTTGCTACTCCTACTTACACTTTGGTCACACTTCACAGACACGCACATGCATATATATATATACATACATCTAGGTTTTTCTCCTTTTTCTAAATAGCTCTTGTTCTTTTTTATTTCTTCTATTGTCCATGGGGAAGTGGAAAAGAATCTTTCCTCCGTAAGCCATGCGTGTCGTATGAGGCGACTAAAATGCCGGGAGCAATGGGCTAGTAACCCCTTCTCCTGTATACAATTACTAAAAAAGAGAAGAAGAAAAACTTTATAAAACTGGGTTGCTTAAAAATGTGCGTGGATGTAGTGCGGATGACAAGAAACAGATGATTGCTGATGTTATGAATGAAAAGAAGTTGGATGTCCTGGCCCTAAGCGAAACAAAGCTGAAGGGGGTAGGAGAGTTTCAGTGGGGGGAAATAAATGGGATTAAATCTGGAGTATCTGAGAGAGTTAGAGCAAAGGAAGGGGTAGCAGTAATGTTAAATGATCAGTTATGGAAGGAGAAAAGAGAATATGAATGTGTAAATTCAAGAATTATGTGGATTAAAGTAAAGGTTGGATGCGAGAAGTGGGTCATAATAAGCGTGTATGCACCTGGAGAAGAGAGGAATGCAGAGGAGAGAGAGAGATTTTGGGAGATGTTAAGTGAATGTATAGGAGCCTTTGAACCAAGTGAGAGAGTTAAAATTTTGGTAGGGGACTTGAATGCTAAAGTAGGAGAAACTTTTAGAGAGGGTGTGGTAAGGTAAGTTTGGGGTGCCAGGTGTAAATGATAATGGGAGCCCTTTGATTGAACTTTGTATAGAAAGGGGTTTAGTTATAGGTAATACATATTTTAAGAAAAAGAGGATAAATAAGTATACACGATATGATGTAGGGAGAAATGACAGTAGTTTGTTGGATTATGTATTGGTAGATAAAAGACTGTTGAGTAGACTTCAGGATGTACATGTTTATAGAGGGGCCACAGATATATCAGATCACTTTCTAGTTGTAGCTACACTGAGAGTAAAAGGTAGATGGGATACAAGGAGAATAGAAGCATCAGGGAAGAGAGAGGTGAAGGTTTATAAACTAAAAGAGGAGGCAGTTAGGGTAAGATATAAACAGCTATTGGAGGATAGATGGGCTAATGAGAGCATAGGCAATGGGGTCGAAGAGGTATGGGGTAGGTTTAAAAATGTATGTTAGAGTGTTCAGCAGAAGTTTGTGGTTACAGGAAAGTGGGTGCAGGAGGGAAGAGGAGCGATTGGTGGAATGATGATGTAAAGAGAGTAGTAAGGGAGAAAAAGTTAGCATATGAGAAGTTTTACAAAGTAGAAGTGATGCAAGGAGGGAAGAGTATATGAGAAAAAGAGAGAAGTTAAGAGAGTGGTGAAGCAATGTAAAAAGAGAGCAAATGAGAGAGGGGTGAGATGTTATCAACAAATTTTGTTGAAAATAAGAAAAAGTTTTGGAGTGAGATTACAAGTTAAGAAAGCCTAGAGAACAAATGGATTTGTCAGTTAAAAATAGGAGAGGAGCGTTATTAAATGGAGAGTTAGAGGTATTGGGAAGATGGAAGGAATATTTTGAGGAATTGTTAAATGTTGATGAAGATAGGGAAGCTGTGATTTCGTGTATAGGGCAAGGAGGAATAACATCTTGTAGGAGTGAGGAAGAGCCAGTTGTGAGTGTGGGGAAGTTCGTGAGGCAGTAGGTAAAATGAAAGGGGTAAGGCAGCCGGGATTGATGGATAAAGATAGAAATGTTAAAAGCAAGTGGGGATATAGTTTTGGAGTGGTTGGTGCAATTATTTAATAAATGTATGGAAGAGGGTAAGGTACCTAGGGATTGGCAGAGAGCATGCATAGTTCCTTTGTATAAAGGCAAAGGGGATAAAAAGAGAGTGCAAAAATTATAGGGGGATAAGTCTGTTGAGTGTACCTGGTAAAGTGTATGGTAGAGTATAATTGAAAGAATTAAGAGTAAGACGGAGAATAGGATAGCAGATGAACAAGGAGGCTTTAGGAAAGGTAGGGGGTGTGTGGACCAGGTGTTTACAGTGAAACATATAAGTGAACAGTATTTAGATAAGGCTAAAGAGGTCTTGTGGCATTTATGGATTGGAAAAGGCGTATGACAGGGTGGATAGGGGGGCAATGTGGCAGATGTTGCAAGTGTATGGTGTAGGAGGTAGGTTACTGAAGCAGTGAAGAGTTTTACGAGGATAGTGAGGCTCAAGTTAGAGTATGTAGGAAAGAGGGAAATTTTTTCCCAGTAAAAGTAGGCCTTAGACAAGGATGTGTGATGTCACCGTGGTTGTTTAATATATTTATAGATGGGGTTGTAAGAGAAGTAAATGCGAGGGTCTTGGCAAGAGGCGTGGAGTTAAAGATAAGAATCACACACAAAGTGGGAGTTGTCACAGCTGCTCTTTGCTGATGACACTGTGCTCTTGGGAGATTCTGAAGAGAAGTTGCAGAGATTGGTGGATGAATTTGGTAGGGTGTGCAAAAGAAGAAAATTAAAGGTGAATACAGGAAAGAGTAAGGTTATGAGGATAACAAAAAGATTAGGTGATGAAAGATTGAATATCAGATTGGAGGGAGAGAGTATGGAGGAGGTGAACGTATTCAGATATTGGGAGTGGACGTGTCAGCGGATGGGTCTATGAAAGATGAGGTGAATCATAGAATTGATGAGGGAAAAAGAATGAGTGGTGCACTTAGGAGTCTGTGGAGACAAAGAACTTTGTCCTTGGAGGCAAAGAGGGGAATGTATGAGAGTATAGTTTTACCAACGCTCTTATATGGGTGTGAAGCGTGGGTGATGAATGTTGCAGCGAGGAGAAGGCTGGAGGCAGTGGAGATGTCATGTCTGAGGGCAATGTGTGGTGTGAATAAATGCAGAGAATTCGTAGTTTGGAAGTTAGGAGGAGGTGCGGGATTACCAAAACTGTTGTCCAGAGGGCTGAGGAAGGGTTGTTGAGGTGGTTCGGACATGTAGAGAGAATGGAGCGAAACAGAATGACTTCAAGAGTGTATCAGTCTGTAGTGGAAGGAAGGCGGGGTAGGGGTCGGCCTAGGAAGGGTTGGAGGGAGGGGGTAAAGGAGGTTTTGTGGTGCGAGGGCTTGGACTTCCAGCAGGCATGCGTGAGCGTGTTTGATAGGAGTGAATGGAGACAAATGGTTTTTAATACTTGACGTGCTGTTGGAGTGTGAGCAAAGTAACATTTATGAAGGGATTCAGGGAAACCGGCAGGCCGGACTTGAGTCCTGGAGATGGGAAGTACAGTGCCTGCACTCTGAAGGAGGGGTGTTAATGTTGCAGTTTAAAAACTGTAGTGTAAAGCACCCTTCTGGCAAGACAGTGATGGAGTGAATGATGGTGAAAGTTTTTCTTTTTCGGGCCACCCTGCCTTGGTGGGAATCGGCCGGTGTGATAATAAAAAAAAAAAAATAATGTTAATAATGATAATGATAATTATAATAATACAATAATAGTAATAATAACATTGTAATAATAATAACGTTAGAATTGTGTTTGGAAGTGTTGAGAGGCAGGTTCTCACCTTCATATGCTGTGGTGAAGATGATGCCGGGTTCAGGTTCCACGGTGGGCCGGACCTGCCTGAACCTCGGCCCGGACACGTGCTGGGGACACACAAGTGATACATACATGATACATACACAAGTGATATATACATACACAAGTGATATATACATACACAAGTGATATATACATACACAAGTGATATATACATACACAAGTGATATATACATACATAAGTGATATATACATACACAAGTGATATATACATACACAAGTGATATATACATACATAAGTGATATATACATACACAAGTGATATATACATACACAAGTGATACATGCACAGAACAAGTCAAGACTAGGGTGATCCTCACCAAGTCTTGAAGACCTCGGTGATCACCAACAACTTCAATATTCCGTAATTCAAACAGTGCATATACACTGACAGACATACACCTCTCAGGGTATATACTGTGATATGTAACTCCATTTGTGTTAGGTAACTGGACACAAGTGCAACTGATGTGACATTTCACTGTGGCAACGTTTCGCTCTCCAGATGCTTTGTCAAGTTTTATAATGACTTGACAGACCCTGGAAAGAGAAACGTTGCCAGAACAAAATGTCACACGAGTTGCATCTGTGTGCATTTATCTAACATTTTGAGGGTAACTCTACCATTATTACTGACTCCATTTGTGTATCTTATATACATACACAATAACACCTACTTTGGGTCTCAGGTAACTGTAATCATGTATTGCACTAGCGCTTCTGCTGCCACTGCTGCTGCTTCTGCTGTTGCTACTGCTGCTGCTACTTCTGCTGGTGCTGCTGCTGCTGGAGGAGGAGGAAGGGTCAACACTGGCCAGATTCTGGGTAATGTTATCGAGTTTGTTTTCAATTTGTATCAGGGAGCTAAGAAGGCCTCGTCCAGCAAACTCTGTGATGATTGGGTGTTCAGGAGAGTTCATCTGTTTCTTGACCCAGTTAATAGTTGAGTCCACCTGTTGGGAGACGACCAGGTCACTGTTAGATGGCTGTGACGTGTGTGTCACTGTTAGATGGAGGTGAGGTGTTTGGGGTCACTGCTAGATGGCAGTGACGTGTGTCACTGCAAGATAGAGGTGAGGTGTTTGGGGTCACTGCTAGATGACAGTGACGTGTGTGTGTGTGTGTGTGTGTGTGTGTGTGTGTGTGTGTGTGTGTGTGTGTGTGTGTGTGTGTGTGTGTGTGTGGTTGTGTGTGTGTGTGTGTGTGTGTGTGTGTGTGTGTGTGTCACTGCTAGGTGGAGTTGAGGTGTGTGGACTCACTGTTAGACGGTGGTGAGGTGTGTAAGTCACTGTTATAGAGGGAGTGTAAGGTATCACTGTCTAAGAGGTGAGATTCTACATTACTGTGCAGTTCCATACGTCTCCGTATAAATATAACAATAATAATAATAGTAATAATAATAATCCACAGTGACAATCCTAATTTCGAGCCGAGAAGATTTCTTGTTTACACAATCCACCTTCAAGAAAAGTATCAAAATAACTTTGAATATATGCTCCTAAAATTTCTAGTAATGCATTTCTTTAGACCACCTGGCTACCACAACTATTTCTAGATACCACAACTACTTCTACCACAACTACTTCTACCACAACTACTTCTACCACAACAACTTCTACCACAACTACTTCTGCCACAACTATTTCTACCACAACTACTTCTACCACAACTACTTCTACCCACAACTACTTCTGCCACAACTACTTTACCACACTACTTCTACCACAACTACTTCCTACCACGACTACTTCTAGCTACCAACAACTATTTCTACCACAACTACTTCTACCACAATCTACTTCTACCACAACATCTTCTACCACAACTACTTCTGCCACAACTACTTCTACCACAACTACTTCTACCACAACTACTTCTACCACAACTACTTCTGCCACAACTACTTCTACCACAACTACTTCTACCACAAACTACTTCTGCCACAACTACTTTCTACCACAACACTTCTACCACACAACTACTTCTACCACAACTATTTCTACCACAACTACTTCTACCACAACTACTTCTACCACAACTACTTCTACCACGACTACTTCTACCACAACAACTTCTACCACAACTACTTCTACCACAACTACTTCTACCACAACTATTTCTACCACGACTACTTCTACCACAACTACTTCTGCCACAACTACTTCTACCACAACTACTTCTACCACAACTACTTCTACCACAACTACTTCTACCACAACTACTTCTACCACAACTACTTCTACCACGACTACTTCTACCACAACTACTTCTGCCACAACTACTTCTACCACAACTACTTCTACCACAACTACTTCTACCACAACTACTTCTGCCACAACTACTTCTACCACAACTACTTCTACCACAACTACTTCTACCACAACTACTTCTACCACAACTACTTCTACCACAACTACTTCTACCACGACTACTTCTAGCTACCACAACTACTTCTAGCTACCACAACTACTTCTAGCTACCACAACAACTTCTAGCTACCACAACTACTTCTAGTTACCACGACTACTTCTAGCTACCACAACTACTTCTACCACAACTACTTCTACCACAACTACTTCTACCACGACTACTTCTAGCTACCACAACTACTTCTAGCTACCACAACTACTTCTAGCTACCACAACTACTTCTAGCTACCACAACTACTTCTAGCTACCACAACTACTTCTACCACAACTACTTCTACCACAACTACTTCTACCACGAGTACTTCTAGCTACCACAACTACTTCTAGCTACCATAACTTCTTCTAGCTACCACAACTACTTCTAGCTACCACAACTACTTCTAGCTACCACAACTACTTCTAGCTACCACAACTGCTTCTAGCTACCACAACTACTTCTATCACAACTGCTTCTAGCTACCACAACTACTTCTAGCTACCACAACTACTTCTAGCTACCACAACTACTTCTAGCTACCACGACTACTTCTAGCTACCACAACTACTTCTAGCTACCACAGCTACTTCTAGCTACCACGACTACTTCTAGCTACCACAACTACTTCTAGATATCATAACTACTTCTAGGTACCACAACTACTTCTAGCTACCACAACTACTTCTAGCTACCACAACTACTTCTAGCTACCACAACTAACTTCTAGCTACCACGACTACTTCTAGCTACCACAACTACTTCTAAGCTACCACAACTACTTCTAGATACCATAACTACTTCTAGCTACCACAACTACTTCTAGCTACCACAACTACTTCTAGCTACCACAACTACTTCTAGCTACCACGACTACTTCTAGCTACCACAACTACTTCTAGCTACCACAACTACTTCTAGCTACCACAACTACTTCTAGCTACCACAACTACTTCTAGCTACCACAACTACTTCTAGCTACCACAACTACTTCTAGATACCATAACTACTTCTAGATACAACAACTACTTCTAGATACCACAACTACCTCTACCACGACTACTTCTAGCTACCACAACTTCTTCTACCACGACTACTTCTAGCTACCACAACTACTTCTAGCTACCACAACTACTTCTAGCTACCACAACCACTTCTACCACGACTACTTCTAGCTACCACAACTACTTCTAGCTACCACAACCACTTCTACCACGACTACTTCTACCTACCACAACTACTTCTAGCTACCACAACTACTTCTAGCTACCACAACCATTTCTACCACGAGTACTTCTAGCTACCCCGACTACTTCTACCTACCACAACTACTTCTAGCTACCACAACTACTTCTAGCTACCACAACCCACTTCTACCACGACTACTTCTAGCTACCACGACTACTTCTACCTACCACAACTACTTCTAGCTACCACAACTACTTCTAGCTGCCACAACTACTTCTAGCTGCCTTGATCTACATTCCTGTCTGACACAGCAACATCTTGGGATCTTAATACAGGGAATTCTTCACTTACCTAACCCTTGGGCACGACCTACTTCCACACTGAATACTGTGACGCCACCTACGACTGCTACACCTCTCCTGCCTACGGTATATAAGCTACTTCTCCGCGCATATGCTGTATTCTATTCAAGATTGATGGACTGACCACATCGACTCAAGGTTGAGGGACTGATTACCTCATTCTCCTCCTGTTCTTCACCATTCTCCTTTGTATGGACTGATGAAGCCACTGTGTGGCGAAACGTTACCTCATTAAAGATACCCAAGAGTTGCATATGTGTCTAATTTATCAACTTGTCGGTTCTCTGAACCATTCATCTATATATATATATATATATATTATATATATAATATATATATATATATATATATATATATATATATATATATATATACCATACGTATTGACTTAAATTATGTCTCATAAACACGCTGATAACAGGGATATCTTGCTACTCCAACTTACACTTTGGTCACACTTCACAGACACGCACATGCATATATATATATATATACATACATCTAGGTTTTTCTCCTTTTTCTAATAGCTCTTGTTCTTCTTTATTTCTTCTATTGCCATGGGGAAGTGGAAAAGAATCTTTCCTCCGTAAGCCATGCGTGTCGTATGAGGCGACTAAAATGCCGGGAGCAATGGGCTAGTAACCCCTTCTCCTGTAGACACTTACTAAAAAAGAGAAGAAGAAAAACTTTATAAAACTGGGATGCTTAAATGTGCGTGGATGTAGCGCGGATGACAAGAAACAGATGATTGCTGATGTTATGAATGAAAAGAAGTTGGATGTCCTGGCCCTAAGCGAAACAAAGCTGAAGGGGGTAGGAGAGTTTCAGTGGGGGGAAATAAATGGGATTAAATCTGGAGTATCTGAGAGAGTTAGAGCAAAGGAAGGGGTAGCAGTAATGTTAAATGATCAGTTATGGAAGGAGGAAAAGAGAATATGAATGTGTAAATTCAAGAATTATGTGGATTAAAGTAAAGGTTGGATGCGAGAAGTGGGTCATAATAAGCGTGTATGCACCTGAGAGAAGAGAGGAATGCAGAGGAGAGAGAGAGATTTTGGGAGATGTTAAGTGAATGTATAGGAGCCTTTGAACCAAGTGAGAGAGTAATTGTGGTAGCGGACCTGAATGCTAAAGTAGGAGAAACTTTTAGAGAGGGTGTGGTAGTAAGTTTGGGGTGCCAGGTGTAAATGATAATGGGAGCCCTTTGATTGAACTTTGTATAGAAAGGGGTTTAGTTGTAGGTAATACATATTTTAAGAAAAAGAGGATAAATAAGTATACAAGATATGATGTAGGGCGAAATGACAGTAGTTTGTTGGATTATGTATTGGTAGATAAAAGACTGTTGAGTAGACTTCAGGATGTACATGTTTATAGAGGGGCCACAGATATATCAGATCACTTTCTAGTTGTAGCTACACTGAGAGTAAAAGGTAGATGGGATACAAGGAGAATAGAAGCATCAGGGAAGAGAGAGGTGAAGGTTTATAAACTAAAAGAGGAGGCAGTTAGGGTAAGATATAAACAGCTATTGGAGGATAGATGGGCTAATGAGAGCATAGGCAATGGGGTCGAAGAGGTATGGGGTAGGTTTAAAAATGTAGTGTTAGAGTGTTCAGCAGAAGTTTGTGGTTACAGGAAAGTGGGTGCGGGAGGGAAGAGGAGCGATTGGTGGAATGATGATGTAAAGAGAGTAGTAAGGGAGAGAAAGTTAGCATATGAGAAGTTTTTACAAAGTAGAAGTGATGCAAGGAGGGAAGAGTATATGGAGAAAAAGAGAGAGGTTAAGAGAGTGGTGAAGCAATGTAAAAAGAGAGCAAATGAGAGAGTGGGTGAGGTGTTATCAACAAATTTTGTTGAAAATAAGAAAAAGTTTTGGAGTGAGATTAACAAGTTAAGAAAGCCTAGAGAACAAATGGATTTGTCAGTTAAAAATAGGAGAGGAGAGTTATTAAATGGAGAGTTAGAGGTATTGGAAGATGGAGGGAATATTTTGAGGAATTGTTAAATGTTGATGAAGATAGGGAAGCTGTGATTTCGTGTATAGGGCAAGGAGGAATAACATCTTGTAGGAGTGAGGAAGAGCCAGTTGTGAGTGGGGGAAGTTCGTGAGGCAGTAGGTAAAATGAAAGGGGGTAAGGCAGCCGGATTGATGGGATAAAGATAGAAATGTTTAAAAGCAGGTGGGATATAGTTTTTGGAGTGGTTGGTGCAATTATTTAATAAATGTATGGAAGAGGGTAAGGTACCTAGGGATTGGCAGAGAGCATGCATAGTTCCTTTGTATAAAGGCAAAGGGGATAATAAGAGAGTGCAAAAATTATAGGGGGATAAGTCTGCTGAGTATACCTGGTAAAGTGTATGGTAGAGTTATTATTGAAAGAATTAAGAGTAAGACGGAGAATAGGATAGCAGATGAACAAGGAGGCTTTAGGAAAGGTAGGGGGTGTGTGGACCAGGTGTTTACAGTGAAACATATAAGTGAACAGTATTTAGATAAGGCTAAAGAGGTCTTTGTGGCATTTATGGATTTGGAAAGGGCGTATGACAGGGTGGATAGGGGGGCAATGTGGCAGATGTTGCAAGTGTATGGTGTAGGAGGTAGGTTACTGAAAGCAGTGAAGAGTTTTTACGAGGATAGTGAGGCTCAAGTTAGAGTATGTAGGAAAGAGGGAAATTATTTCCCAGTAAAAGTAGGCCTTAGACAAGGATGTGTGATGTCACCGTGGTTGTTTAATATATTTATAGATGGGGTTGTAAGAGAAGTAAATGCGAGGGTCTTGACAAGAGGCGTGGAGTTAAAAGATAAAGAATCACACACAAAGTGGGAGTTGTCACAGCTGCTCTTTGCTGATGACACTGTGCTCTTGGGAGATTCTGAAGAGAAGTTGCAGAGATTGGGGGATGAATTTGGTAGGGTGTGCAAAAGAAGAAAATTAAAGGTGAATACAGGAAAGAGTAAGGTTATGAGGATAACAAAAAGATTAGGTGATGAAAGATTGAATATCAGATTGGAGGGAGAGAGTATGGAGGAGGTGAATGTATTCAGATATTTGGGAGTGGACGTGTCAGCGGATGGGTCTATGAAAGATGAGGTGAATCATAGAATTGATGAGGGAAAAAGAGTGAGTGGTGCACTTAGGAGTCTGTGGAGACAAAGAACTTTGTCCTTGGAGGCAAAGAGGGGAATGTATGAGAGTATAGTTTTTACCAACGCTCTTATATGGGTGTGAAGCATGGGTGATGAATGTTGCAGCGAGGAGAAGGCTGGAGGCAGTGGAGATGTCATGTCTGAGGGCAATGTGTGGTGTGAATATAATGGGAGAGAATTCGTATTTGGAAGTTAGGAGGAGGTGCGGGATTACCAAAACTGTTGTCCAGAGGGCTGAGGAAGGGTTGTTGAGGTGGTTCGGACATGTTAGAGAGAATGGAGCGAAACAGAATGACTTCAAGAGTGTATCAGTCTGTAGTGGAAGGAAGGCGGGGTAGGGGTCGGCCTAGGAAAGGTTGGAGAGAGGGGGTAAAGGAGGTTTTGTGCGCGAGGGGCTTGGACTTCCAGCAGGTATGCATGAGCGTGTTTGATAGGAGTGAATGGAGACAAATGGTTTTTAATACTTGACGTGCTGTTGGAGTGTGAGCAAAGTAACATTTATGAAGGGGTTCAGGGAAACCGGCAGGCCGGACTTGAGTCCTGGAGATGGGAAGTACAGTGCCTGCACTCTGAAGGAGGGGTGTTAATGTTGCAGTTTAAAAACTGTAATGTAAAGCACCCTTCTGGCAAGACAGTGATGGAGTGAATGATGGTGAAAGTTTTTCTTTTTCGGGCCACCCTGCCTTGATGGGAGACGGCCAGTGTGATAATAAAAAAAATAATAACGTAAAGCTAATAAATACAGCCAGGAGGGAAGGTTGCTTAAGCCAGAATTTCACTCTAGAGTTGGACAAAAAAAATCATAAGATCTGGACAAAAATATCGAAGAATTCGTTACTAAAATGCATTACTTCTAGCATATATGTTATTTCTTGGTCACTGACCAGGATAGTACAGTGACAATTATCCCCAAATTGATAATAATGTTGAAAAGCATTTGTTTTCTGGGGACATTCGCCCCTTAGCCGCCCCCCCCCCCACCTTCATGGCGGAGCTTAACAAACAATTTCTTTCTTTTCTGCAGTGTACACAATATAGATTGTATGTAACAGAATATTGATAGGCACGAAACAAAGCCATTGTTGGTGGATGGGTTAGTTATCTCTCATCCCTTTTCTCTCTTTCTCACTTATATTTACTCATTGCCTTTATATCCTTTTCATCCTTCTTCCTTCCCCTCCTTACCAGGACTAGTCATAGGTCAGAAGGTTGTGGTTTTAACCTTAGTAATACATACCGAGAAATTGGTTTAGAAAGACAGGTGAGGAAATACTACGACATATTTATTATAAAACGTTTTGATCCTGGGCCTTGACCACTTCTGGGGAAATATTCAAGGTCGAAGGATTGAAACGTTTTCTAATAAGTATGTCCTAGTGTTTGCTTATGTGTTTTTCTCAACCCAGAAGGTTGTACTCACCTCCTCGACGCGCTCAGACACTTGCTCTACCTTGAACTCTAGTCTGGTCATGGCGTTGATCTTCTTGTCCAGGGCTGTCAACTTGTGGTTGAGGGCGTCGACTGCGTTGAGACGGATCTCCCACGAGTCTTGTTTCTCGTGGCACCTGTTGACGACGATAACATCACAGTAGCTTGTGATAACAACAACATGAGCTTGGTGATCGAAATGTTCTTTGGACCAGCACTTGTCACCTTGAAGAATGAGATACTTGTACAACGTTTGGGAATCTTTACTGAGGAAACGTTTCGCCAGCCAGTGGCTTCTTCAGTCTAATACAGAGAAGAACTGAGAAAGATGAGGAGTTTGAGGTAATCAGTCCCTCAGCCTGGAGTATATCACACTGATGGACTGAACACATCGACTCCAGGCTTAGGGACTGATTACCTCAAACTCCTCCTCTTCCACTGTTCCTCTCTGTGCTGGACTGAAGAAGCCACTGGCTGGCGAAACGTTTCCATAATAAAGATTCCCAAATGTTGCACGAATGTCTCATTTTTTTAACCTGTCGGGTTTCTAAACTATTGGCACCAACACTTAACAGCTTCCACCACTGTTGTATCAGTAACATGACCTAGTGCACAGCCTCCCACTCACCTACATATGATCTCTCTCACTGAGAGCTCATTAGATATCGATTGAACAAGTTTAGTATTAGAGACGAAGATAATAAACCCAAGAAACTCTGGTAGTGTGGGTTATTTCTAATGGGGGTACTTAGGTCTTCCCTTACCCAGGATGCCATCCCACAACAGCTGACTAGCCTCTAGGTATCTATTTGCTGCTATAAGGATCTAGAGGGATTTTTTTATTGTGGATGTTGTTAGGTTATTTATGAGGAGGTTATGAGCCTTGTGTTTTTGTGGAAGAGGATACATGGCAATATACAATTTAATGCTAATGAATATTCTTGCCTATTTCAAGTTGACTTTTCACATGGTATAAACAAAAGAGACAACAGTATTATTGATGCTAGTGTACAGGAAACAATGCAGCCATAATGATTCTCTTGTAGCAGACAATCTTTAAATCTAACACATATACCTTGAGGGTGCTCTGGGGGTCAGCGCCCCTGCGACCCAGTTCTTGACCAGGCCTCCCGATGCATCAGGGCCTGATCAACTGTGAGGAGGCTGTAGGTGGGGAGGTAGCAACGGCTACCAGCAGTGAGGTGCAGCCCAGCACCTGCTACAAGTGGCGAGTTGTTCACAGTAATGGGAGGCGCATCAGAGTAAGGAAAGTTAAGAGTGAAGATCTGAAGGTAGGAAATCGCTTCTCTGTTCTCCAGGATGAATGTACTTCAGTGGCCAGTGAAGGTAAGGGTACTACTGCCCCTGCTAATGAAGGTAAGCGCATTCTTGTGGTTGGTGACTCTCAGGTAAGATATGTTGACCGTGCTTTTTGTAATAGGAATAAGAAGATGAGAGATAGAGTGTGCTTCCCTGGAGCTGGTGTTGGGGACATTGTCAACAGACTGGATAATATCATGTCAGGTAATGGGAACAAGCCCATTATCTGTCTCAGTGCTGGTGGAAATGATATTGGGAAGGGTAGGAGAGAAGAGCTGCTAGATAAGTACAGGTCAGCTATAGATTTCATTAAGTCTAAGGGAGGGATCCCAATCATATGTAGCATCTTGCCTAGAAGGGGAGTAGGAAATGAATGGTTGTCTAGGGCAATTGGTGTAAATTGCTGGCTAGACAGATACTGCAAGGAGCTTGCAATCCCATTCATTGACAACTGGAACAACTTTTATGGCAAACATGATATGTATGCAAGGGATGGGGTTCATCTCTCTGGGGCAGGGGTGGTAGCACTTGCAGACTCGATTGAGAAGGCCATTGGTGAAATGCCTATGATTTTAAACTGATGGAAGATAGAGGTATGGGTGTGTGTGGGAAACAAGCAGGTTGCAACACTAGGGTTGGAAACATTAAATGTATAAAAGGCATTCAGCATGAAGTTATAAATAAAGACAATAGAACAGGTCAGCAAACAAAGGGGGACAGCAGAGGGCAGCAAGGGACTAGCTCCCTTAAGGTTTACTATACTAATAGCAGGAGTGTTAGAAATAAGATAGATGAGCTAAGATTAATTGCAAGTGCAGGAAACATAGATATTATTGCTATAACAGAGACCTGGCTCAATCTGAAAGATAGAGAGATGCCCTCTGAATGTCACATACAAGGCTATAAATTATTCCACACTGACAGGGTCAACAGGAAAGGTGGTGGAGTAGCGATGTATGTCAGAGACAATTTAAATTGTTGTGTTAGACAAGATATTAAATTAGAAGCGTCAGCCACTGAATCTGTTTTGGTTACAGCTTCTCGAGGGCCGAGAAAAAACTAATTTTGGGTGTGATTTACAGGGCCCCAAATCTTGATAGGGAGTGCAGTAAACTTCTATGGGACGAAATTCGTAAGGCATCTACATACAAAAAATGTTGTGCTAAGGGGAGATTTCAACTATAGACAGATTGACTGGAGCAATTTGACAGGAAATTTAGAGTCGGGTGACTTTCTTGATACGATCCAGGATTGTTTTTTAAAACAGTTTGTGACAGAGCCAACTAGGGGAAATAACCTCCTTGACTTGGTTCTTGCCAGTAGGGAAACACTAATTAATAATCTTGAGGTTAATGATGAGCTTGGGGAGAGTGATCAACAAATCACTCAGTTTTAACATATCATGGAATTCCCCCAATAATGGCAATCAAGTCTCCGTCCCTGACTTTCGCTTGGCTGATTTCATAGGACTGAAAAATTACTTAGGTGGGCTGAACTGGAATGACCTGACTAGGGGTCAGGTAGGTGGTGATGGTTGCCGATATGATGCTTTCCAGGGCATAGTTCTAGCTGCTCAGTCAAATTATGTTCCAAATAGGGAAATCAGATCAAACAAAAATGATCCTAAATGGATGAACAATAGATTAAAATATCTGATTGGTCAAAAGAGAGGCATATATAGGCAAATCAAAAGAGGAGAGGGGCAATTAAGAAATCGATATATTCAGTTAAAGAGAGAAATAAAAAGGGGAATTAAAAAGCAAAAAGAGATTATGAGGTTAAAGTTGCAAGAGAATCGAAGACTAACCCAAAAGGATTCTTTCAGGTATACAGAAGTAAGATCAGGGACAAGATTAGGCCCACTCAAAAGTTCCTCGGGTCAGCTCACTGACAGTGATAAGGAAATGTGTAGAATTTTTAACACATACTTCCTCTCAGTTTTTACACAGGAGGATACCAGCGATATTCCAGTAATGATAAATTATGTAGAACAGGCGATAATAAACTGTGCACGATTAGGGTCACAAGTGACATGGTCCTTAGGCAATAGATAAATTAAAACCTAACAAACCCCCAGGCCCTGATGAACTGTATGCAAGGGTTCTAAAGGAATGTAAAGGGGGAGCTTAGCAAAACCTTTGGCTAATCTTTTCAACATATCACTACAAACTGGCATGGTGCCAGATAAGTGGAAAATGGCAAATGTGATACCTATTTTCAAAACAGGTGACAGGTCCTTAGCTTCGAACTATAGACCAATAAGCCTAACCTCCATAGTGGGAAAATTTATGGAATCAATAATTGCCGAGGCAGTTCGTAGCCACCTTGAAAAAGCTTTAAAATTAATCAACGAATCCAGCATGGTTTTACAAAGGGGCGTTCCTGCCTTACGAATTTATTAACTTTTTTTCACTAAGGTATTTGAGGAGGTAGATCATGGTAATGAATATGATATTGTGTATATGGACTTCAGTAAGGCTTTTGACAGGGTCCCACATCAGAGACTATTGAGGAAAATTAAAGCACATGGAATAGGAGGAGAAATTTTTCCTGGATAGAGGCATGGTTGACAAATAGGCAGCAGAGAGTTTGCATAAATGGGGAGAAATCAGAGTGGGGAAGCGTCACGAGCGGTGTTCCACAGGGGTCAGTGTTGGGCCCCCTGCTGTTCACAATCTACATAAACGACATAGATGAGGGCATAAAGAGCGACATCGGCAAGTTTGCCGATGACACCAAAATAGGCCGTCGAATTCATTCTGACGAGGGCATTCGAGCACTCCAGGAAGATTTGAATAGACTGATGCAGTGGTCGGAGAAGTGGCAGATGCAGTTTAATATAGACAAATGCAAAGTTCTAAATGTTGGACAGGACAATAACCATGCCACATATAAACTAATAATGTAGATCTTAATATTACGGATTGCGAAAAAGATTTAGGAGTTCTGGTTAGCAGTAATCTGAAACCAAGACAACAGTGCATAAGTGTTCGCAGTAAAGCTAATAGAATCCTTGGCTTCATATCAAGAAGCATAAATAATAGGAGTCCTCAGGTTGTTCTTCAACTCTATACATCCTTGGTTAGGCCTCATTTAGATTATGCTGCACAGTTTTGGTCACCGTATTACAGAATGGATATAAATTCTCTGGAAAATGTACAAAGGAGGATGACAAAGATGATCCCATGTATCAGAAACCTTCCCTATGAGGATAGACTAAGGGCCCTGAAACTGCACTCTCTAGTAAGACGTAGAATCAGGGGGGATATGATTGAGGTTTATAAGTGGAAGACAGGAATAAATAAAGGGGATGTTAAATAGTGTGCTGAAAATATCTAGCCTAGACAGGACTCGCAGCAATGGTTTTAAGTTGGAAAAATTCAGATTCAGGAGGGATATAGGAAAGTACTGGTTTGGTAATAGAGTTGTGGATGAGTGGAACAAATCCAAGTACCGTTATAGAGGCCAGAAACGTTGTGTAGCTTTAAAAATAGGTTGGATAAATACATGAGTAGATGTGGGTGGGTGTGAGTTAGACCTGATAGCTTGTGCTAACAGGTCGGTTGCCGTGTTCCCCCCCTTAACTCAATGTGACCTGACCTGACTAGGTTGGGTGCTTTTGGCTTAACCCGGTAGGGACTTGGACCTGCCTCGCATGGGCCAGTAGGCCTTCTGCAGTGTTCCTTCGTTCTTATGTTCTTATGTTCTACGAACCACAGTCCGGCTGGTCGGGTACTGACTTTAGGTATCTGTCCAGTTCCCTCAGTACCTACGAACTACAGCCCCATTTATAGGGAAGTAGTTCATAGGTACGTGTGTATTCATATGCTCTTACACCAACAAGGTGCCCAATAAATTAACCGCTTCGGCCACAAAATCTCATATACAAAGTCAACCACAGTTCAACAACTTCAGTAAACCTTTCACCGGGCATAAAGTGAATTACCAATAGATCCCTGTCTGCCTTCAATACGGCAATTTACTAGCAGGGGAAAGCCGAATGCGATGCTCAATGGATAGACATAGAAAAGTTTCCAACCTGTTGGGGAATGTCTAGTTTCCGTTCCATAGTCCTGGACTGGTCAGTCCACACTGTCATGTGGTTCTGTATGTTGTCCCAGGCGGCGGCGCGGTCAGCAATGCCCTGACAGTGGCCTCCAGAGCTGCTATCCTAGCTGAGCTACTTGACAGTTCTCTCTCCAGCTTGTTGATGTACAGGCTGTTGAATCGCTCCAGCTGACCTACAAAACAACACTTCATTAATACTCTGTGTGGTTTACCATAGGATGATAGACAGCCATTATTTATAAGATAAAGAACCAGTATAATAGCTCTGTCACATGTCTTTAGCTGAAATGAACAAGGTATGAGTCTGTCGAAGGGACATGTGCAGTACTTGGGTACATTGATCCTGAAGACGTTTTGTCAACCAATGACAACATCAATTTAATTCAGAGGCTATTCGAAGGTGTTGAAACTAGACAGTAGACGACGTAATCAGTCCTTCAGCCTATGTGTTCACCTAATTCTTGATGAAGGAATGATTACCTTGTCCACTACTGCGTCCAGATTCAACTCCTTCAAATAACCTCTGTATTGATGTGGAAAATGGTATAAAATACCGACAAGCTGGTGATTAAGACTCATGTTGGATTCCAGAGGGACTTGGCTTCTTACTTCTACTAGCGGATCCCGTCCCCTGGAACGTCTTTGAGATCTTCCACCTCGCCTTCAGCAGTATTTAAGACTCCATTCTCATTCTTCAGCTTCCAGAGCGCAGTGTACCCCATCCATCGGCTTCGTTTGGGCTTTCCCACAGCCAAGATGGTGGACAGGGCAGAGGAGGAGATCTGCCAGCACTGCCAGCACGTTGTGCAGCGCCCCCTAACACACTATCACCTGGAGTGCCAAGTTACTGAAACACTCCCAGAGAAGACTGCGGCTGTCCTAGTGTACCATGGTGTCAACGTCCCAGACAAGCTGTTGCCCGTGATAACGACATCTTCTCCTCGCCAGAGTGTCCACAGTTAGGAGTGATTGTGTGTGCATGTGCATATCTCTGAATATACGTGCATAATGCGCCCAGCGTGCGCGTGTATATGATCTAATTTTTCATATTACAGACGGCGTTGTCAATTTTGAGACGCACCAGATGAACTGTCCAGAACAGTGCTTGAGCAGCATACATTGTAACATTTACAAAAATCTATTCTCCTTCGGGAGCCAGAGACGGGTCATCGCAAGATTAAGACCAGTGCCAAGACTCCGGTCTTGGCGAACATTATACAAACACGCTTCAGCTTCATGTCGTTCCAGACCTGGAGCTGAACTCTTCTCCAGCCTGAGGGACTGACCACCTCATATCTCCAAGGTTGATGGCCCGGTGGCCTGGTGGCTAAAGCTCCCGCTTCACACACGGAGGGCCTGGGTTCGATTCCCGGCGGGTGGAAACATTTCGACACGTTTCCTTACACCTGTTGTCCTGTTCACCTAGCAGCAAATAGGTACCTGGGTGTTAGTCGACTGGTGTGGGTCGCATCCTGGGGACAAGATTAAGGACCCCAATGGAAATAAGTTAGACAGTCCTCGATGACGCACTGACTTTCTTGGGTTATCCTGGGTGGCTAACCCTCCGGGGTTAAAAATCCGAACGAAATCTTATCTTATCTTAATCTTATCTTCATTTCACTACTACACCTGCTGCCTCTGTATTTGACTGAAGAAGCCTACTGTGTATGCTTCTTCATCGAATAAAGATACCCAGGTGTTGCACATATGTATTAATCGTCAACCTCTGTATAGACTTCCTGAAGACACTGGCGGGCGAAACGTCTATAGAGTTGAGATACCCAGGTATTACACATGTGACTGGTACACAAACTTGTCGGTATTGTATAAGTGCTATCATCTGACCCCCGTTGATCTAATCACTATGAGTTCAACGTTCATTATTCCCACCACCAACACCAAGTCTATTGTCAAGTGTTTCGTAAAACTGACCATAGATTTGGATGTGAGTTATCGTGTTCAAGTGAAATTACCTCTCAGATAATATGATGCCCATAACTGACTCCAAAATCTCGTCAATGACTGGAGAAACTGAAAAACAGCTCTCAAACGCGTGTATATATATATATATATTTTATATATATATATATATATATATATTTATATATATATATATATATATATATATTATATATATATATATATATATATATATATATAATTATATATATATATATAATATATATATATATATATATTTATATATATATATATATATATATATATATATATATTTTTCAGTCTCATTTAAAAAAAAAAAGAGCACACCATAGAGAGGAGCTTAAAAAGAGATCCTATCAAATACAATCTGCCTCTTAATCCCGCCCCTCAACAATTTCCGTGACTGTCATAATACTTTCTCACATCTGATAGACAGGAATTTATAGACTGACGGCCATATCGATGAATTGTCGTTAAGTGAACGAATGTAATTTATCTCAATAAACAAAGGGACACTAGATAGATGAGAGCCCATAGAAATACCGAAGGTTTCAGAATAAAATTTACATTGAATGGAAAAAGAGTTAGAGTCCACACAAAGGCGAATAAGATCAAGAAAGTCATCAAGGTGAAGGCCAGTTAAGGGTTACTTCATCTCCCTAACTTCTAACTCTAACTCCTTTTCCTGTCAAGGTAAATTTGATTCTCAAAGAAACATTAGATTGGGAGGAAAAAAAATAGATCAAATGGTGCCGTAGACTTGTTTTGGATAGTGATTCCTCGTGGGATTTACCCAGAGTACTGAGGTCTGGTTAACCTCTCACCTTTGTGGGTCACTGACCTCCTCCACCAGCTCGTTTTAGTTTGTTAAAGTTACCCAGAACTTTACTGCAGGAGATGAACCATCTGCCTTTAGCAGTTTCTTGTGAATAATAATAACAGAATATATTTTATATTATATATATATATATATATATAATTATATATATATATATATATATATATATATATATTATATATATATATATAATATATTATATATATATATATATATATATATATATATATATTATATATATATATATATATATATATATATATATATATATATATTATATATATATATATATATATTATATATATAATTATATATATATTATATATATATATATATATTTTATATATATATATATACATATGGTAGTCTGAAAATTAACCTGAAAGCTATACACAGCTCTCACAGAGGTCTCATCTCGTCCCAAAGACACCTGCCGGAGTGTAGCTCTTGTCCCCCTGCCGTCAATAAATGTTGGATAACTGTAATAAACAGTGATAACTATTATGAGAGTTGTTGAGAGACTGATGACTTGCAGTGAGTCTCAGACCAGGTCCAGGAGACCTGATCTGAGACCTAGCTGCCAGTGTTGAAGATAATACCCAGAACCACTAACATCTATTGTTGAAAATGGTATAAAATACCGACAAGTTGAAGATTAAGACACATGTGCAACAGTTTGTATCTTCATTGATCAGTAAAGATACCCAACAGTTGCATATGTGTCTTCAACACAAACATCTGCCCTACACCCACGTTCTGGGCTGGTATCCAGGTCTGTGAAGAGTGTGGTTGGCTGGGTCACCCTACACCCTCTCTGTTCGTCTCATTAAGCTGGCTACTGTCTCAAGCGGGAAGCGCTAAGCACGTAGGGGGACACACAGCGCCTGGGAAATACGAGGTACAGTAGAGCTAGTTATGAATCAAGGCAAGGAAGGATCTCTCCACATTATCAACAGCCTTTCTGCGGAATCAAGGACCCTCTCTTTCCCAGTAAAGGATAATATCAGCCTAGAATATTACCTTGAGAGTATGTGGCATTATCCTGGAGGTGGTAATATCACTTCCAGGAAGTATTTAACACATGACTGGCCTACCACACGTCTACACTGCCAACTTTCTTCTTTATTAAAACTTGCCAGCAGCAACAGATGACACGACAAACAGAACTGATGTAAAATATCGACTCGGTAGGAAAAGACACATTATGCAGTGTGATGCCAAACTTTATTGACAACGTTTCGCCCACACAGTGCGTTTCATCAAGCCACAAACAGATCCGGTCAGTTAAATAATCCACGTGGACAGAGCGAGGTTTGTGAGTGTAATAATAATAATAATAATAATAATAATAATAATAATAATAATAATAATAGCACGAAGGAGTAGCATTATTGGAGTCAGACTCTGATGTGTGTGTGTGTGTGTGTGTGTGTGTGTGTGTGTGTGTGTGTGTGTGTGTGTGTGTGTGTGTGTGTGTGTGTGTGTGTGTGGTGTGTGTGTGTGTGTGTGTGTGTGTGTGTGTGTGTGTGTGTGTGTGTGTGTGTGTGTGTGTGTGTGTGTGTGTGTGTGTGTGTGTGTGTGTGTGTACTCACCTATTTGTACTCACCTATTTGTGGTTGCAGGGGTCGATTCATAGCTCCTGGCCCCGCCTCTTCGCTGATTGCTACTAGGTCCTCTCTCTCCCTGCCCCATGAGCTTTATCATACCTCTCCTTAAAACTATGTAGGTTCCCGCCTCCCTACGTCATTTTTCTAGGCTATTCCACGGCCTGACTACTCTATGACTGAAGAAATACTTCCTAACATCCCTTTGATTCATCCGAGTCTTCAACTTCCAATTGTGACCTCTTGTGTCTGTGTCCCTTCTCTGGAACATCCCGTCTTTGTCCACCTTGTCTATTCCGCGCAGTATTTTATTATGTCGTTATCATGTCTCCCCTGACCCTCCTGTCCTCCAGTGTCGTCAGGCCGATTTCCCTCAACCTTTCTTCGTAGGACAATCCCCGTAGCTCTGGGACTAGTCTTTTTGCAAACCTTTGCACTTTCTCTAATTTCTTGACGTGCTTGACTAGGTGTGGATTCCAAACTGGTGCTGCATACTCCAGTATGGGTCTGACGTAAATGGTATACAGAGTCTTGAACGAATCCTTACTGAGGTATCGGAACGCTATCCGTAGGTTTGCCAGGCGCCCGTATGCTGCAGCAGTTATCTGATTGATGTGCGCCTCAGGAGATATGCTCGGTGTTATACTCACCCCCAGATCTTTTTCCTTGAGTGAGGTTTGCAGTCTTTGGCCATCTAAACTATATTGAGTCTGCGGTCTTCTTTGCCCTTCCCCAATCTTCATGACTTTGCATTTGGCAGGGTTAAACTCAAGGAGCCAGTTGCTGGACCAGGCTTGTAGCCTGTCCAGTGTGTGTGTGTGTGTGTGTGTGTGTGGGGTGTGTTGTGTGTGTGTGTGTGTGTGTGTGTGTGTGTGTGGTGTGTGTGTGTGTGTGTTTGTGTGTGTGTGTGTAAGATGGGAGACGTGTACACCACCTTACAATATTTCACACAAGGTATACAATTTACACAATAAAATTCCATACTGTTTTTTTCCTCAAATTTGTGTATTATGTGAATTGTATCTGTTAAGTGTTATTGTATCTGTTAAGTGTTATTGTATCTGTTAGGTGTTACTGTATCTGTTAGGTGTTACTGTATCTGTTAAGTGTTATTGTATCTGTTAAGTGTTATTGTATCTGTTAAGTGTTATTGTATCTGTTAGGTGTTACTGTATCTGTTAGGTGTTACTGTATCTGTTAAGTGTTATTGTATCTGTTAAGTGTTATTGTATCTGTTAGGTGTTACTGTATCTGTTAAGTGTTATTGTATCTGTTAAGTGTTATTGTATCTGTTAGGTGTTACTGTATCTGTTAGGTGTTACTGTATCTGTTAAGTGTTATTGTATCTGTTAAGTGTTATTGTATCTGTTAAGTGTTATTGTATCTGTTAGGTGTTACTGTATCTGTTAGGTGTTACTGTATCTGTTAAGTGTTATTGTATCTGCTAAGTGTTATTGTATCTGTTAGGTGTTACTGTATCGTTAAGTGTTATTGTATCTGTTAAGTGTTATTGTATCTGTTAGGTGTTACTGTATCTGTTAAGTGTTATTGTATCTGTTAAGTGTTATTGTATCTGTTAGGTGTTACTGTATCTGTTAAGTGTTACTGTATCTGTTAGGTGTTACTGTATCTGTTAGGTGTTACTGTATCTGTTAGGTGTTACTGTATCTGTTAAGTGTTACTGTATCTGTTAGGTGTTACTGTATCTGTTAAGTGTTACTGTATCTGTTAGGTGTT